CCTTCTCTGCCTGTTGTTGAGTGTGGGTTTCAGAGAGAACTCCATATGGCAGGAGGAAGCAGTGGCAGGGGCTGGGGAGGGGGCAAAGCAGGAACAAGAGGCAAAAAACTGACACTGAGATCAGAGTCCTGGTGCCTTTCTCTTTACATCCCCTCTGGAATTTTCTCACGGGGCAGCGGTTTGTATGAGCTACATTTTTTTTACACTTTCCAAGTTTGTCCTTCCAAATCTGTTTTCCTTCTGCAGTTTGTGTTGATCCCCCATCCTAGACCAGGCCCACAGGTAGAGCCCTTCTGTTCTATCTAACTTCTACTGTAGTCCAGAAGCAGGGGCAAGAGTCATTGGAGTAATTCACAGATATCAGGCCTGCCAATGATTGTACTGCCCAGGACATTTTGGGGAGGCCTTGAGGTTAAGAGCGTGGGCTCTGGAGTCAGATAGACATGAGTTCGAATCCTTGTTCTGCCACTTATTAACTGTGAACCCTCTCTGAGCCTCACTTTCCTTAGCTATTAGTTTTAAAATTGTACCTCTTTACCTCATAGAGAGCTATTGGAGGCTTCAATAAGATGGCCTAGGTAAAGCACTTAGCACAATGCCTGGCACATAGTAGGCACTCAGCAAGTTACTATCATTATGATACGTGTTTGAAGCCAGGGTTTCCACTGAGCACGGTCGAAAGCACACTGGTCTAGAAAACAGAAAACTGACTTTAATGAGCACATGGGGGTTCATTATATTATTCTACTTTTGTGAATATTTGGAAATACCCATGATAAAAAGGTTTTTAAAAAGGCCTAGCTGGCTCAGCTTTCCCTGGGTGATTAATCAAAGTCCAGATAGTTTCAATATGATGTCAGCCTACTGAAATTGGGGAGAGAGCGGCATGGAAACCTTAATTCTCTTAGGCTAGTGCAATTCAGGGAGCTTTGAAAATCCAGAAGGAACAGTGGCTTCATTAAACTGTGTTTTACTTTTTAAAAAAAATTAACCTTTTTATTTTGAGATCATTGTAGATTCACATGCAGTTGTAAGCAACAAAACAGAAAGAATCCATATACCCTTCACTTAGTTTCCCCAATGGTAAGATCTTGCTAAAATATAGCACACTGTCACAACCAGGCTATTGACATTGATATAATATACTTTTGCTGCATCAATTGATATGATCATGTGATTTTTCTTCTTTAGTCTGCTAATATGATTGGTTACATAAATTTCTGGATATTAACCAACTTGAATTTCTAGACTGAATCCCAGTTGGTCATGGTCTATAATTCTTTGTATGTATCAATGAAATCCATTTGCTAATATTTTGTTAAGGATTTTTGAATCTATATCCAAGAGGGATATTGGTAGGCAGTTTTCTTTTTCTTTTTTTTTTTTTTTGTACTGTCTTTTTCTTGTCTTGGTGGCAGGGTAATAGCGACCTCATAAAATGAATTGGGAAGTGATCCTTCATCTTTTATTTTCTTTAAGAGATTGTGTAGGATTAGTATTAATTTTTCTTTAAACATTTAGACCTGGAGATTTCTTTTTCAGGAATTTAAAAATTACAAATTCAAGAGGGTTGACATGTCATGGGGTTGTTAACCAATATCATAAAACAATATGCGTACTGACTGTTCAATGAGAAACTGTTTGTTCTGTAAACCTCTACCTAAAGTACAATAAAAAAAATTACAAATTCAGTTTCCCTAATAATTATAAGGCTATCCAAATGATCTATTTCCTATTGAGTGGATTGTGGTAGTTGGTGTTTTCCGAGGAATCGTTTTATCTAAGTTGTCAAATTTATGTGTGCAAAGTTGTTTGTAATATTCCTTTATTATCTTTTTGACGTTCAAAAAGATATCCTCTGTTTCATTCCTGACATTAGTAATTGGTGTCTTCTCTCTTTTTCTCTGTCAGTCTTGCTAGCGGTTTGACAATTTTGTTGATCTTTTCAAACAACCAGCTCTTTCTGCATCATGTTTAGACACTCCAGGAATCTCCAAGGCAACCACTTCTTTCTTTTCAATTAATGTTTCTCCTCCTTTCTACTTTACATAGTTAACATTTTGTTTCAATTACAATTACCCGTTCCTGTTCCCTTTCCTTTCCTCATCTATGTCTTGGTAGGCTCTCCATTACTCCTGTCCTTTTGACTTGCTTTTGAAAGATGGACTACATCTTGTTGGTATCTCTAGAAAGTTTCAAGACTGCTTTACATCATAATTGCACAAAGCAATTGTGAATTCTGAACCATTATAGCTACATTATAGAAAACTTGCCTAATAAAACTTAAAATTTTTTGTTAACTGTCAATTTTCAATAGCCTGAGAGTACACCACCATGGTGTCCTGGAAAAAACACAAGGCTTGGCAGCATAATGCTTGGGGTCAAGTCCTGACTCTGCTAGTTACAATCTCAGGTTTGCCCAGTAAAGCCTTGTGAAGCTACCAGGTAGAGCTTGAAGTAGCTTAAAGCTTCCAGGGACTGGCTACCTCCCACTTGTCATCACTGAGGAGTGACAGAATTGGCCCTCATTGCTGCCTTTTTGCCTTATTTCCACTCTGCCTAGCCCACCCATCTGTATAATTCACTGTCACAGGAACAGACCTACCATGAGCATTGTCATTTCTATGACTGTGTTTCTGTAATTCTCCCTGCCTAGAAAGCTCTCTACTGTCCTCTCTGACTGCCTGAATTCTAGCCACCCTCCAGGGAGTCCTATAATCAAGTACTACTTGTCCTGTGATATCATCTTGTCTGATCATCCCATATCAATCTGATGAGCCCTCTGATCTCGGGTAGCAACCCCTGCCCATGCCATTGACTGAGCCCTTTAGTAGCTGTGATCTCTGCGCATCATATTTGCTAGGAGCACTGGCTCTTGTTAAGACATGCCTGGGCTTGAATCTTGGGTCTGGCATTTCCTTGTTGCATGCTCTTGGGCAACTGACTTCACCTCCCTGAATCTCAGTGACCTCTTCTGTAGAATGAGAAGATCATCTCTGCCTGACAGGGTTGTTGTAAAGATCAAATAAAATGTCTTCAAAGCTATTAAGTGCCAAATAAATATAAAGGATACTATTAGTACAATGGAGACCTGGTGGCGCAGTGGTTAAGTGATATATGGCTTCTAACCAAAAAGTCAGCAGTTCAAATCCACCAGCCCCTCCTTGGAAATCCTATGCGGCAGTTTTACCCAGTCCTGTAGGATCGCTATGGGTCGGAATCAACTCAATGGCAACGGGTTTTTTTTTTTATTAGTACAATAATAATTAAAAATCAGGGTTAAGTTGGAAATTATTCATGAAATAATGTTGTAATGAGAAAAATCACAAAACTGTAGATAAAGTAAGACAGATCCCAATATGTGTTCATAAATGTATATATAAAAAAGAATGGGAAGACACACCTCAAAATGTTATTCTGGATGATGGTTAGCTCTGGATGATGGGATAATGGTTGATTTTTATTTTATTTTCTATGTTTTGCATTTTTTAGAGTGGGAATATAATAGATTTATAATTAGAAAATATCATTTTTTAAAAAAGAAAACTCAAGGTCTGATGAGTACGCTCTTATTTGTTTTAATTTCTACTCCACCATACTTCAGAAGAGGCCCTGGTGGCACAGTGGTTAAAGAGCTTGGCTGCTAACCAAAAGGTCAACAGTTCAAATCCACCGGCTCCTTGGAAACCCTATGGGGCAGTTCTGCTCTGTCCTATAGGGTCACTATGAGTCGGAATTAACTCGATGACAGTGGGTTAATACTTCAGGAAGGGCTTAAGGCAGCATATAATATAGCAAGAAAACATTAAAATACAAAATAAAATAAAGCAAAGGAGAAAATGAGGGTAAGAAAGATACTATGTAGTGACACTGTTAAAATATGTATCATGGCTATCTTGTATTTTAAGTGTTTTTTTTGTTGTTGTTTTTTGTTTTAAGAAAAGACTGTCCTAGGATGTCTCTTAGTCATGAGTTGAATAGATAAGATTAATTTTATAAAATGGGAAGCATTTTACACTACGTTGTAAAGATATTAAAATGACACACAAAAGAGAAGACTTTTCTGCCAGTTTTGAGTGAGTGAAAGATTCTGATTATTTTGTTTTCGACATAGTAGACAGCTCCAGGAAAAGCATGGTGTCTTAGTTTCCTGGTGCTGCCATAACAAAAAATACCACAAGTGGGTGGCTTTAAAGAACAGAGATTTATTTTCTCACAGTTCTAGAGGCTAGGAGTCCAAATTCAGAGCGTCAGCGGGGCTAGGCTCTTTCTCTCTTTCTTTCTCTCTCTGAGCTCTAGGGGAAGACCCTTGCCTCTTTCCATTTTATAGCCCCAGTTGTTTCTTGGCATTCCTTGGCTGCCTGTAGATGCATCTTCACATGACCTCTGTCTTCCCCTGTCTATGTCTGTGTCGATTATGCTCTTTTTATAAGACACCACTCAGAAGGGATCAGGTTTAGGACCCACCCTACTCTGGTATGATATCATTAACATAACCAAAGAAAAACCTTATTTCAAAACAGGTAAAGGGGTTAGGACTTCAACATAACTTTTGGGGGGACAAAATTCAATCCGTAACAAATGATTGCCATTACATACTTATATTGTATTATGCTTGCATAGTAGGTTGCAAGTTACAAATATATATTTGGTAGCTTTGATTTTGCTTATCTGTTTTGAACACGTTGAATGGAGAAGTAGACTGGAAAAAAGAAACAAACTCAAACTGGGAATGAAGTTCTTGTCCTAGCCCTGCCATTAGTTAGCTGGGCCTTACCTCCTTGGCTTATTCTCCTCCTCAGAAATTGAGGGACCGCAACAAGAAGATCTAACTCTGACCGTCTATTGTTAAGTAAAATTATGGTTTCACTTGTTTAGAAATGTATATGTCTATCAATCTTTTCACTTGGCAATCTTTATAGTATGTTATTTGACCTTATGTTATAAAATGTTCATTTTAGACTTATATGATATGAAAGTCTTTTAAATCTTTTTCACAGAGAGACCTCTCTCCCCTAAGGCTGTCAAAGGACTTGAAACTGCTCCACTTACCAAGAATTACTATGCTGTGGTGAGTGTTCAGATGATGAACAAAAATTTTCTTGACTCTCTATATGGAAACTTTTAACTTGTCAAACCACTGATGTGTTGAGGCAACTTAAATGGAAGACTGGATAAAGTTGTATTACAAAGGTCCAATGTCATACGCATACAGTAGAACTCTTCCACTTGTGGGCCTCTTATAGCTGTCTAGAAATTGTACATCTACCGTACTGAAAACTCTGAAGGTAGCACAAAGATTCAGAGCAAGACATATTAAAGAATGGTGAAAGAGAGATTGGTTAATATGTAGGCGTTATGGTGAAATTTGGGTGTCCCTGGGTGGTGCAAACGGTTAAGCGCTAAGCTACTAACCAAAAGGTTGGAGGTTCAAATCCACCCAAAGGAGCCTCGGAAGAAAGCCTTGGCAATCTACTTCCAAAAGATCACAGCCCTTGAAAACCCTATGGAGCGTAGTCCTACTCTGACACACATGGAGTCACCATGAGTCGGAATTGACTTGATGGCAACTGGTTTTGTGTGTGTGTGTGTGTGTGTGTGTGTGTGTGTGGTGAAATTCAGCAGTTAGATATAGCCTTACCAGATCTTTAGAAGGTGGATTCCCTAGCTCCTGTAATGCAATAAGTTTTAAGTGATTGCATTCTATAATTTTATTTTAGAATCAATTGATCCATTATTATATCCTCTGGAATATTATCAACTTTGCTTTTGAGGAGTGCCCAAAAGGAAGACTGCCCTTGGCACAGAGGGGAGGAATAAAATGACTCTGGCTTGAACACAGATATGTCAAAATATATTAGCTATAAATAGGGCATGTGCAATACTCAAAATCAGTTCCCATTTGAAAAAGAAATCACATCATTCTCGTTAATCCACTCTCTGCTTTTCTTCATGTCTCCCTTCCAGACTTGGCCCAGTCACTAATAAAAAGGTCAAGTCATCATTACCTCAGAGTTTCCCTGCCTGCTAGCCTCATCTTGCCCCACCTCTGCTGAAATACAGCTTCAGTTTTTACCCAGTGTACTGTGTGCGCATGTGCTGCATGCTCCTTTCATCTTGTGCGTGGATAAACAGTTTTTAAACATCTCGAAACAATTATGTGAATGTCTTTTGGTTTCAAAACCTTGAATCTCACCCTTCAGAAATTTCTTTCCATAACGATGACATGAGCAGTAGGTGGGATGAAAAATCAAGAAGGAGCTTCATAGGTAACATGGACAGTAGTCATAGGAGACTACTTTGTCAGTATTTTTCCTCTTACATTTCATGGCGTTAAAGTATATTTCCTAGCAGAGCTAGGCCACTTCTATTAGCTTCCAGGTGACTCCCAATGACTTAACTGTTAAAGAAAAGAAACAGTGAGAGCCATGGAGGCTGGATGAGCCCGCAAAACTATTGCCCTGAGATAATCCTTAAGCCTTAAACCAAAAATATCCCCTGAAGTCTTCTTAAAACCAAACAGTAGTTTAGCTTAACTAGTAAAGAATGTCTGCCTCGAGCACTGTGCTCTTTCAAGATCTATCTATATGGGATCAAGTGGACAATATCAACTTGAACGATTAGATAGGAAGCTTAGTGGGCCGTGCGTTTATGTTACTGGGGGAGGAACAACTCAGAAAAGGAGGGTGAGAATGGTTGCACAACTCGAAGAATGTAATCAATGTCACTGAATTGTATATGGAGAGACTTTTGAACTGGTGTATGTTTTGCTGTGTGTATTCTCAACAACAACAAAACAAATAAAATTAAAAAGAAAAAGAAAAAAAGAAAGGACACAGTGAAATGATGGATGAAAATGTCACCATAGCTTCTTGCTGTAGATCTGGAACATTCCATCACTCTGCTTTGGATCTATCTCTGCCTCTGCTGATTCTACCAATTTAAAATGTCAGAATTATCCAAGACAGATTAACCTCTGTGATTCTTATGGACCTTATAAAATCCTATGTATACTGTATACAAACTCAGGATGTACTGCAGTTTGTATAACCCACCTCCTATTGGAGGACATGTACGTTGTTTCTAGTTCTTTGCTAATATAAACAATGCTGCTGTGAATATCTTATACATATAATTTTTCCCAAGTACATAAAGATCTGCAGGATGGATTCCTAGAAACTAAATTTGGGTCAAAAGATACATGTATTTTTAATTTTGATAGATATTGTTTCCAACCTCAAACGTAATAAAGAAAATAGAAGATCTTGGGGGAGCCTATGATGACCTGTGAAGGAGCTGTAGAGCGTTGGTGTGAATATTGCTGAATTATTGAGTAGAGGCCAACTGGACATACCGTTGTAACTAAATATGGGCATGAAGGGATTTTGGTTGGTAGTTAGTGTTTGGTTTTTTAGTTCACATTTCTTTGGCTTTGAATATTTAGGCAAATTTTTAGCAGCAATGAATTCCAAATATGTCCTGAGTGTTGTTTTGATAGTCCTCCCAATTTATGTTGACTGTCTTAGATAAATCAACAAAATCCTAGCCCACCCACAGGATTTGGAGACTTGAAAAAGCAAGTCCACCCACATGTAAGGTGTCTCCATCTGATCATATATTACCTCTCTTTTGCTCTAAGAGTGATTAATTGTAGACATTTTCTGTTGCTAGATCTGTAAGAATACTAGTGACTGTGTCTTATTCTATTTTTAAAAAACAGAAATAACCTCTGTTTCTGAATAGATATGTACTTCTATCGATAATTATTTTTTAAAATCAAACAATACAGAAAAAGTATAAAGAAGAAAACAAATATCGCCTGTCACCTGCAATCTCACCACTCAGAAATCATCACTGTTCGTATGTTGGTAAATCTCATGCCAAACTTTCTTTGCGGCACGTGTGTGTATGTGTATGTACATATATATATATAGTTTCCAGTTGCCATCCAGACAATTACGACTCATGGTGCCCTCATGTGTGTCAGAGTAGAATTGTGCTCGATAGGGTTTTCAATGGCTGTTTTTTCAGAAGTAGATCTCCAGGCTTTTCTTCTGAGGTGCCTCTGGGTGGACTTGAACTGCCAACCTTTCAGTTAGCAGCTGAGCGCATTAACTGTTTGCACCATCCAGGGACTCATATATATATATACATATATATATATAAAAAATATATATCTATATATAATATATAAACAGAAACTATGTATTTTACATGATTTGTCCTTTACAGACTTTGTTCTATCCTCACACCTCTGCTCTTCCTGCCTCTGACCAGACCTGTTCATGTGTTTTTCCATTCAGTGAGTCCTCGCTTGCTCAAGTGCTCCCTTTACTTTGGTCCTCTAAACTTGGGCAGAATAGGGACCTCTTGAAATTTGCAAGTCTACAGACATTCTCTCTCCTTTTCCAAGTTTCTAAGGGGTTGTCCACTGATTTAGAGCTCATTCAGACCTTGATGCGATTCCAGCGGCATGTCAGGTTCTCCAGTGTGACCAAGGTGGCTTTGGGCACCCAGCTCAGACCCGCATCTGCCATGAGATGTGTTCAGTGTGTGTAACTGAGGCTTGGCCGCTCCTGTCCTGTTGTTTTGTGTATGTTGTTGTTGTTAGTTGCCATCGAGTTGATTCTGACTCTTGGCGACCCCACGTGCGCAGAGTAGAATTGCTCCATGGGGTTTTCAAGGCTGTGACCTTTTGGAAGCAGACATTCAGGCCTGTCTTCTAACGCACCTCTGGGTGAGTTCTAACCACTGGCGCCTTTTGGCTAGTAGTCGAGGGCTTAACTGTTTGCGCCACCCAGGGACTCCCCAGGCCTGTTGTTTTGAATGGGAGCTCAGCATCTTTTAGGGAACCTGGCAGCTCAGAGGAGGCTTTTACTGCTCCTGATCTTGGCTCCTTCATTGCCCTCAAAATTCTCTGCCAACTCTTTCACCACTGGAAAAATCATTTATTTTTTTCTATTAATTATGTTTCTAATAATCTTCTTCTGCTCGTTGGCTTTCTTTGCTCATTGTAGCTTGATATTATGTGCCAGGAAAGACTAACAACAGAAAAAGATCAGAAAAAGGAATCTATGCAGCTCAGTTGTGACGCTTAATTTGTATGTGGCGCTCAGTACTTGCCTTCTTGGCAGTCATGGTCTCATGGGGTAGGAGGACAGATATGGTAGCATAATCCACATGGCAGAGAGCGATGTAAAGTCATAAGGTGTTCTAAGGCGGGCTTCTCAAAATGTGGTTGGGGGATCCTTTGCATTAAGAGCACCTGAGGAGCTTGTTAAAACTGCGAATATCTGGACCCCACACCTGACCTGCCAAATCAGAACCCCTGGACGTAGATCCCAGAAAACAGCATTTTTCACAACTCCTTTCCCTTCCTCCCACACAGGCGGTTTTGATGCTCACCAAACTAAAGCTTGAGAACCAATAAAGGGAAAGACTGAATGGAGGAGATAAGATTCAAGGCATGTCTTGGAGGAAGGGAAGGACTTAGCTAAGCAGAGAATAGCTGCAAGGGGAATTCCCGTTACCTGATGCCATCGAGTCGATTCTGACCCAGTGATCCTATAAGACAGAGTAGAACTGCCGCGTAGGGTTTCCAAGGCTGTGGTCGATCTTTATGGAAGCAGACTGCCACATCTGAGTAGCTGGTGGGTTTGAACCTCTAGCCTTTCGGTTAGCAGCTGAGCGCTTACCACTGCACTGCCAGGACTCCTGAAGGGAATTCGGCAGGGGAAATTATATGATCAAAGGCACCGAGGCAAGAACACCCATGCCTGCAATTAATCCCTGCAGGCCATAAAGTTAGTGCACTTCCCGCTCAAAGTGCCCCTTGGAAGATGCATCCCCCCCCCCCCCCGCTCATTGCAGCTATTGCAGCACGCTGTATTAGAGCTGTCCTTTGTGCTGTCACAAGTGGGCCAGGCTCACAGTAATCCTCATATTGACTCTGGGGATGAGTATCTGTCTGCAGAGTGAAAGACGATCTTTCCCTACATCTGAATAGGAAGATATAATCAGTAGGGACCAGTCTTATTTATTGTGTTCTAACTTTTTTCTTCTTTATCATAA